GTGACCCGATCGTGTGGCTGAAAGTGACACGATCGTGTCACTTAGCATTTTTGACGGGCTTCACAAATTCGCTCATAACTTTCTGCTCCGACATCGGATTTGGATGATCTTGGGTCTATTCGTAGATATCGAAGAGAGCTTTCCAATGATGTAGAGAATGTATGATTTGGACTTGTAGAGTGAAAGTTATTGGACTTGCAAGATCTGATGTTTCTGAGCTTCACGTTTTCTCAAAAACAACTCCAAATGTTCCCCGTTTTATCCGTGATGTTCCGTAATCCATGTTTTCCACTCCTTTTGCTCTCTTTATATGTGAAAACCTGTTTAAATACCAAAGAATACAACCATGCAATATCGAAGCCAAATGTGCCCTAGAATGTCTACAAATATGTAAAACCCAGTGAAATACGCTAGACATCCTGTATCAAAACATCACCGAAAGTACGTGTTATCAGCAACCAAACAATATCGAGACCAAATGTGCTCTAAAATGCCTATAAATATGCAAAACCGAGTTAAATGCCCTAGACATCTTATACCAAAATATCACCAAAATACATGTTATCAGTTACCACCCAATCGGGAGGTTGATTTCAGCATAGACGTGTTACCAGGTACGGAGCCAAATTCTAATGCTCCGTATCGGATGGCACCTACGGAGATTGTCGAACAGAAGAAACAGCTGAACGAGTTGGTGGAGCAGGGTTTCATCTGCCCTAGCGTCTCACCGTGGGGAGCACCAGTACTCTTCATGAAGAAGAAGGACGGGAGTATGTGATTGTCCATCGATTTCCGGGGGCTCAACCAGGTGACTATCAAGAATCGGTACTCGTTACCGAGTGTAATAACCCGAATCCGATTTTGAATGTTTAATTAATTTCGGAGAAGAACAATTATATAAACGAGTATTAAACCTTAAGAAATGGACCACAAATTGTTGGGAAAAGGCCCGGAAACCACCCTGAGCAAATAAGGCGAGAAAAGACGAGAAAACGAAACAAAACAAAAGTCAGGACCGATCGGTCCAGGCGAGGAAAAATATCTAGCGAGCTTGCGATCTTGGCCGCGTAATGGAAGTGCGTTCAGGGTCCTACAGGCGACAAAAGCCCGACCTAACTCTCCATAATCGAGCAATAATGTCCCCTAAACAACCCTACTCGACCCTAGACCTCTCTCTGGCTCTAAAAACCTCTCCAAAGGTGATGAGGACATCCGGAGCTCGAACGAGGGACTTGAAGCGGAGCAAGGAGCGGAGCTCGGAGCTTTGGAGAACGTTGCTCGATCGGCCGAACACTTGGCGTCTCTTTCGACCGATCGCCACTTGCCGACGCATGCGGACGTACCATCCTCACTACGGACGTCCGACCCCGTCAACGTACTTCACGGACCAGCCACGAGAGCACCGCGAGCACCACACCGGGCCGAGCCCCCACTTACTCGTGCCAAAGCCCGGGCTCTTCGCCACACACTTATGTCCGACTTGGAGCTTCACGTTGACGGGACACGGAGCCTTGACACGTCATTTCTGAGCGACGCAAATCTCAAGTCTTGGAATGTCTTTACGTGTCTATTCCCGGAGCCAACGTTACAAGACTAAATGGGCCGGAAAATGGGCTGCACAACTTGAGGCCCAACAGCCACATTTTCCATTCAAAATTGTCATTAAGTCTTAGGCTCCACATGGGTTGCATGTTAAGCAACATTAAATGCTTGTCTTTTACCTAAGTTCTATTTATTCCCTTGTAAACTTCAAACAAAGGTTACGTTTTCAGAAATCAGAATTCTCTTTGGTGAATTGCCATTGTTGAGGTTGAGCCATCTCCCTCCTTCTCGCCGACGGTGTGTCCGTTAGCTAAGGCTCGGTGTGTCCGGCCTTGCCCCGGCTTCGGTGTGTCCGAGCCAACTCCTTGGTGTGTCCGAGGTTTATCCTTCGTGTCTCCATCCACTCCTCCGCTGTCCAACGTCACTCTCCCCATCGAGCATCCCCTCCACCATCCCCTTCCCTCGGTTTCTCTCATAAACCGAAATTATCACCTCTTCTGACGCCGCCATCGGAAGTTCCAGCCCTCGTTGAAAGTCGAGAGCCTTCTCCGTGAAGGGCGAGAGACTGCAACCGAGATTAATCCCATCCATACGAGGCTGTGCTCGTATCATTTTGGTATCAGAGCCAAGTCGAGCCCGACGGACGCATAAACCCGGTGAGATCACTCCTTGATCATTACTTTCGGTTTCACGTGTCTATACTTATCACCGGATACACCTACTGCAATTTCTCGTTTGTACCGAGCGTTTCATTTGTCTCTCTTCTGTGCAGGAGGTCGATAAGGACTCGCGACGTGAGAAGGATTCCGACTCAGAAATCGCAGTCCTTGACCACGGTTGTTTCGAGCCTCACTTGCTTGTTCATTGTTAAAACGTTGTTGTGGTTTTTGTGTACGATTGCACTGTTTTATTTGGCTACTTTCACTTGCGTGTTTCTGTACTTTGACAGCCTTCACACCCCCTCTTCGAAGTCCGCTCACACCCAAATCACGGCTGCAAGGATCGCCCGCTAACCCCACGGTGAATTCCTTCCAACTTAGCAAATACTAAGGCGCTTTACGTGTTTTACGTTTCTGTTTTGTTGTGCCGTGTTTGCTGCGTGTTTTTGCTCGATCGGCCGAACACTTGGCGTCTCTTTCGACCGATCGCCACTTGCCGACGCATGCGGACGTACCATCCTCACTACGGACGTCCGACCCCGTCAACGTACTTCACGGACCAGCCACGAGAGCACCGCGAGCACCACACCGGGCCGAGCCCCCACTTACTCGTGCCAAAGCCCGGGCTCTTCGCCACACACTTATGTCCGACTTGGAGCTTCACGTTGACGGGACACGGAGCCTTGACACGTCATTTCTGAGCGACGCAAATCTCAAGTCTTGGAATGTCTTTACGTGTCTATTCCCGGAGCCAACGTTACAAGACTAAATGGGCCGGAAAATGGGCTGCACAACTTGAGGCCCAACAGTCACATTTTCCATTCAAAATTGTCATTAAGTCTTAGGCTCCAGGTTTCGGTGTGTCCGAGCCAACCCCTTGGTGTGTCCGAGGTTTATCCTTCGTGTCTCCATCCACTCCTCCGCTGTCCAACGTCACTCTCCCCATCGAGCATCCCCTCCACCATCCCCTTCCCTCGGTTTCTCTCATAAACCGAAATTATCACCTCTTCTGACGCCGCCATCGGAAGTTCCAGCCCTCGTTGAAAGTCGAGAGCCTTCTCCGTGAAGGGCGAGAGACTGCAACCGAGATTAATCCCATCCATACGAGGCTGTGCTCGTATCATTTTGGTATCAGAGCCAAGTCGAGCCAAACGGCCGAAATTACCCGGTGAGATCGCTCCTTACTTGTTGCTTCTGTTTTAATTTCGATACTAGCTCCACCGAGAAATTCCTATCGCGTTTACCTCCATTGTACCGAGCTTAGTGAGCGATTTGTTTCTGTGCAGGAGGTCGGCAAGGACCCACGACTTGGAGAGGATCTTCGGCATCACTAACCGCAGCCTTCTCCACGGTTGTTTCGTTCCTTCGCTTGTCTTTTGTTCGTTTCAAATTCTGTCCAAATTTGTTGCTACCGATTGTGTTGTTTGAATGATTGTTGTCCGTTTCAAATTCTGTATTTTTTTCAATCTGTATCAAGCACGAATTCTGATCAAGTTGGTGAGTTAAGAGGCTGTTCGTATTCCCTAATTGAGCTTAGAAAACAGATTGAAAACATCTAAGTACTTTCGGAACAGTTTAGGAACCAAAACGTTACTTGTTGCGTGGAGTGCATGTTGTTTGTATCAATTGATTGTTGCACGTCTAAACTTTCTGTTTGTGCTGGTATGATTGGTGAACATTCTGCATGACATAACGTTCCTTTATACGTTAATAGGACTGCACAATAGTAGCCTCGCAATCGTCCGCAACTTGCTCACTTAGGATTGCACGTTAGACGAGCCTCATTGATTGCTGCGAAATCTGTTTCGAAAATCTGATTGAAATTCTTTGAAAACCTGTTCGAGAAATGATTGGACGAGTTTTGATCAAGCTATGTTCGTGATTTGTTGAGTGTTATCTGCATCATTGTTGAGAAATCTGTGTAAAGCTCGCTCATCGTTAGCACGAGATTGCACCTTACTTGCTGTTCATACGCTGCTGTGTTCTCGGGTACAAATCTGTTTGTGATAACCTCAATCTGTAGCTCAACTTGAGTCATTTGTTTGATCATACCACGTTGCTTGCTGCCTTTTTGCACGTTGATTGACATACTCGTTGAATCTGCACGTTCGTGAAATCTGTTTTAACGCGTGTTGTGTGCAAGAACCGTTGATTGTTATCACTCGCTCATTGTTTCGCTTCGATCGCACGTATTCGTGTTCGTTAGGCGTTAGGTTGGGTGCCTAAGTGTTTGTCTTGCACGTTGGTTGCTGCGTGATTGTGTGTTGCGAGGTTTAGTGACATGAGTAACCACGAACAGTCACGTGATGGAGCGAATATAGAATCTAGTGAAAGCGCTATGCTTCAAATGTTACAACAGATTCAAGATCGTCTCACACGACTTGAGCAGGAGACCCGACCCATAGAATCTGCGAGGGCCTCAAACAACCGCCCGTATCATGAATTAAGGGCTGGTCGGAAATCTAAGTCGTCCTTATTTACGGGAGAAGAAGGCCCGGAAGTCTACCTCGAGTGGGAGCGGCAAATGAATGACATCTTTGAGTGTTACTCCTGGTCGAACCAAAGAAAGGTCCAATATGCGACTGCCCATCTTGCGAAGAATGCTCTCATGTGGTGGGAACAAAAGGAAGAAGCCGTCAAAGAATGGGTGCCAACGAATGCCAACGCCAACGCTTATACACAGAAACTTTTCCGATACCGGAGACCCAATTAAGGCGCAAAATCTTGATGCTCGAAAGGACGAAACTATCTTATATACAAGAGAAGTCTACACACGAGAGGTGAGCATCAAGGATAACGGGGTATATAACTCAATCGTGATGGCTGTGGGGAGACACCTTGAGGAAGATTTCGAAGCTCCATCCGACAAGGAGAACAAGAGCGTGACCGAAAAGAAAGAAACGGTCGAGAACCCTGGCTTTGTGAGGGAAACAAAACCCAAAAGTTTGGCAAATGTGAATGAAGAGCGGCAAAATGCCAAGGATGAATGCATACGAGCACAAACACCTACACGCAACAACCTTGTCAAAATCAAAGACCAAGGCAAGGCGACCGATCTTGATGCCCGAGAGGAGGAAACCATCGTGATTCTAAAAGGAGTCACCTCACTAGGTAACGAAACGTTTTCCTCATGTACTAATCAAACTCGTGAGGGCATGTATCACATGTG